CTCTGCATTTTTCTATTGATGGCTTTTGTATTAAGACTCGCACTAGCAAAGAAGAAAACAAATAGAGAGGATTAAATACTGAAGAGAATGGTGGAATGGGTGTTTTTCTTCCCACTTCAGGAAATCGAGTTATTTCAGCAAAGCTGAACATAAGTACTGAGGGTAAAAGATCAGCCACTGAGGAACCAGTTTGGGGATAGAATGTGTAAACAAACAAGAAAAGCACAGAACATGTGATTTCAGACCACTGTTGAGGCCACATATCATCTAATGGCCTTACAGAATCTCTTAGCTTCCCACACTCTTGTCTGAATTCCCATCTTCAGAACAAGTATTATCACACTGTCTCCAAGGAAGGCAGCTCACTGCCACTGGAGTTCAGAAGCCACTTAATAAATTAAACACTTGAGCCTTTTAGTTTACTACCTTGTTGTTTATGTCACAATCAAGACTTGTTTTTGTTTTTTTATGTTCTGGATGGACATGTGTTTTGGGTGCTTAGAGTCAGCTGAGAACACACACAGACACCACATTTTCAACACAAAAGAGATTTATTAACCTGTGGTGTGTGAGGAGGGGCTGTCTCTTGATCTGGCATAGACAGCAGCAGGTGTTTTTGCAGGACTGGGTTGTTAAGGAGAAAAGGGAGGTCTGTGTTAGAATGAGTTGTAAGTCCTGATTGGACAGGTTAACCATTGTAGCCAAATAATTAACTTTGATTGCTGGACCTTGGATGTTGTGATTTTTGGATCTTGGAGCTCAGCCTCATAAGGATTCCATGGCAAAATAAAGAACTGGACTGGACTAGGGGTTTAGTTTACAGTGTAACCTAGCGGTTTAGTGAGAAGAAAGAGAAAAAGGCAAAACCTGCAAGTGCCATGTTTCCATGCATGGGTCTGCTAGAGAGCCCTTCATGTGTAATAGCCACTCACGGCTCTCAGAGAAACTCAGAAGCACAGAAATGGGAAGCTTCTGCACTGCACATGAGTCACAATTCTGTAACTATTCATGCCATTGATCATCCCCCAGCTCACAGGGACAAACCACATAAAACGACCTGATATCTAGAGGAACAATTCTGAAACAAAAGCTCTTGCCTCACTTACCTAAAACACTCAGTCCAATTACGGTCAAGAGAAGAAGGATGAGCCCAGCACAACTGAGTTTTAGAGCGAACCTGTTGGAACGTGGGCACCGGCAGGCATCTGTGAAGTTAAACATCTGGTTACTTGCTTAAGTCAGTTGAGTACATCTGGGATGAAAGTTAAAGGTGGTTTGGATTAACGTGGACAACTGGATTCAAGTAGAGGGTGGGCTGCGGATGTGGGTGTTTCTCTGCCAACGTAAAACAAAATTCCATGAGCTGAATTCTTCATTATGTTCAGCTGTTTTCTCTGATAAAGTAGGAAGGAAAGAGAATGCTCATGCATGTACTCTGCATAAAGAGTCATTGGGTGACTCAGTGTTGATAGATGTGAAGATCTGTTGAAAACCACTGAGTGCTGTAAATCAAACAGTACATTCTGTTGTGGGAATGGAGTCAATGTATCCCTAAGGAACACCTTCTTTTATCCAAGAAATATGTTTGATGCTCACTTTTGTGGTAATTGTGACTTTTGATGCTATGGCATTTGATTCTATTCCTGAATATGGGATCTGCTTCACTGAGGTCTACAATGTTCTTCTCCAACTTGGATTAAAGTTATGGCATCCAAGGAGTGGATTCTCATGAGTCCGCACCATATTTTCAGTATTTCAATTGAGTTAGCTCCTCCTATTGGCTGAGTTCTAAAGCCCCCTTATGGACAGATGATCTGGAAGTGAGGCTAATACCACACCACACACACAAGCACATGCACACACATGCAAACTAAAACCATACAATACTTTGTGGCTGTAGTTTTCACAGTGCACTTTCCTTAAATATAGTACATTGATAATTGCTTTGGCTGTGCTCTGTTCTGTTTCTGAGAGAGAGTTGTCCATTGGACCATGCTGACCTCTAACTCTCTGTGTGGCTGAAGATGACCTTGAGCTCCTCATTCTGCTGCCTCCACTTCCTGAGTGATGGGAATCTGTTGGTTGGGCCTGCTCTCAGATGCTGCAGTCGACCACAGCCTGGCCGCTTTCTCTAAGCTCTTAAACATGGAGGAATCCCTCTCCATCCAGTGAGATTTCCTGCTTTCTACCTTCCCCTATCTGGAGGATGCCTCTTGACTGAGAGAATTGTCCATCTAAGGAAGCTGTCTCCAAGCCTGGAATCCTGATTTATCTTCACCATGACCCTTGGCACAGTTTCCTGCTAGAAGCCTTTCTCCTGTTGCTCTTGAGGTAACTGAGACTTACTCTAGAAGCTTTGCTATAGGACCCTGCTGCCACATATGAAACCTTATGATAGGAGCGTGCTGCTTAATACAAATTAGGGTTTGTCGCCAAGCTCCCCAATCCTATATATTTCTCATACTCTGGAAAAAAGGTGAGATGATTCATCAAAGTCATCTCCTCAAGGGCTATCTCTGTCTTACTGACAGCCATATAAATCTCATTCTCCACTTCTGCTCCTTCCACCCCCATGGATCTTTGCAGCCAGCCACCCAAGGAAGAAGCAGAACAACAGGATTCTATGTTTGCACCAGCCACAAGTAGTCAGCATGTAGAGAGTAAAAAACTAAGAAGTCCTCCACCTTAANCTATGTTTGCACCAGCCACAAGTAGTCAGCATGTAGAGAGTAAAAAACTAAGAAGTCCTCCACCTTAAGTGGAACATCTGCATCCTCTCCCATTCCCAATCAAGGCTCAGGCATTATCACAGAAGGGGGCAAAATGACTGCAGAACCAGAAGTGCTGGATAACTACAAGGAAACACCGTCTTCTGGACATAACAGCGCAGTTGCAGAGATGAACTTGCACCATTTGTGATGGCCTGCACAAGACCTTCAAAAGCTAAAGTCTGACAAAAGATTGTTGGGGACTTGGGCATGAGGTTCCACCCCAGCCTGGGAACATATTGATAGCTGATGGAGGCTAGGAGTAGGAGATTCAGTTTTCTTCCAGGATACAGTCTCTAAGAAGCATCTTATGCTCGAAGATATGGTCTTCACCCATGCACACGCTGGCAGGGCTGACTGGACTCAGTGGGAAGTCAAACCCCAAACCTTAAAGCTGTTTAAGTCTCTTCCACTTTTACAGGTATAAATAGGGAAAACAAAGACTTTCTTGTGCCTACTACAAATGACTGGCTCCAAGAAATCTTTCATATAGTTAACAAAATCCTCCACTTTTCGCAGACTTCTTGTACAGATTATAATGAAGCTCATTTGGTGATTAAAAGATTTTTTCTGATTAAAAAATCTGCTAATTTAATAGTTCTTGACAAGAATCTTTAAAAAGTTGTTATTCACATTCTTGGCACAATATAGAAAGATTAAATGTGCAGTACTGGCTTTGTGGGAGCCTAGGCAGTTTAGATGTTCATCTTACTAGACCTGGATGGAGGTGGGTGGTCCTTGGACCTCCCACAGGGCAGGGACCCTGATTGATCTTTGAGCTGATGAGGGAGGGGGACTTGTTTGGGGTAGGGGGAGGGAAATGGAAGGCAGTGGCGGGGAAGAGACAGAAATCTTCAATAAATAAATTAATTAAAAAAGATTAAATGTACACTTTACGGTATCCTATAAGGATACTAAGTTACATCACAGAATCTCACACTATACCTTGGCCATTTTAGGCCTATTTTCTGCCTCATTGTCTCTTTTCATCCACCCCCAAGTCATCATATCCTTCATATTTGTCTCACATCAGTCTTTCACATTAGTTCCCATTTCTTTCACTCAGATTTTAAATCTTGTGGAAGACAGGGTGCTGATTCCACCAGTGCTCAGTGCTAGGATGCTGTGGAACTGAGTCTTAGTGTTTGTGTTCTGTAGAGAAGTTTGGACCAGGCAAGATGCTTCACAGAGTCTCTCTGCTAGAAGCATCCCTTTCCTTGTAGATGTAAAGCATCCC